AAAACATATGAACGTAAGTAAGCAAGAGAAAATGCATACTAACATAAATATACATCATAACTGTCTATACACAAATATGTATATATATATATATGTATGAGCATATATATATATATATATATATAGGGAGAGAGAGAGAGAGAGAGAGAGAGAGAGAGAGAGAGAGAGAGAGACAATCCAGTGGTAGTGGTGGCATCCGGGTGGGCTCGTCACAGAAGCTGGGGATGGTGGACATTGACATCTGCTTGGCGCTCGTCAAAATGGGTCTCTGAAGCTGGGAGGGGTTTGCTCTGGGCCGCAGGCCGACTCCGTTGTCCTTCATCCAGAAGACTCCCCGGAGCTTCTCGGGAACCTCGGGTGTAGTTAGGGTTTAGGGTTTAGGGTTTAGGGTTTAGGGTTTAGGGTTTAGGGTTTAGGGTTTAGGGTTTAGGGTTTAAGGTTTAGGGCTTCGGGATCGGGGAGTAAGAATTCGGGGTTTTAAGGTATAGGGAGCCTCAGCTAAGGGAGGTGGGCAGAAGAGCTGCGAGCCCTTGGGCCTGATGTTTCAAAAGCAAACCCCAAACCTGAAACCTACAGCCGTCAAACAGGGCCGTCCTCCTGTGCGGGCGTGCGCTCGAGCCCATCCCAAAGCTAAACCTTCGACAAGATCACCTGACCTTCCTGTGTCTTCACCACCACTCCCCTAACACGAGCACGAATGGTTAAAGCGAGGGAACCCTAGACCTGCAAAGGTCAGGATGGGGACATACGACTCCGCACCTGGGTACGTTTCACACCTCATGCGACAGCTGAAACCCTTAGGCCCTTAGGGACCCCAAAAGGGACCATCGTTTCGCCAAAGGAAGGCCGGGCTGCCAGGACTAGGAATCTCAGGGTCAGAAAAGTGAATTGTGAACGGTGCAAGAGAGAGACAAGGTTGAAGCCAACTTGACAGAGATGACAAGTATCTCATCCCTCCTCGCTTCGCCCCAAAGTGACCTTATACCAAAAAGGGGTTGGGGCCGGGCTAGAATGTAGATTACAAGCGACACATCGTTCACGGAAGCGCAAGGGTTTCCTCTCTGTCTCTCCGATTCGGCCGATTCAGCCGCGGCGCGTGCTCCCAAACCCCTGGCACTTTGGTCGCCTCGTACCTAAGCTGAAGCTTCGAATGTGGGGGCTTCAGATCTCGGGGTGTAAAGATAACGTATCTCTGAACCTCGAGGCGAGGTTGCGCCCTGATATCTGGGCTCAAATACTCTCTTGCAGAACTCCTCAATGGTTTTGCTTTGGGGTTTGGAGCTCGTGTTCAGCCCTCAACCCCCCGAACTGCCTCAAACCCAAAGAGGTGCAGAGAATCCAGAACCAGAGAGATCAACAGGATGGGGGGAGCTTGCGCATGTGGCGCTGGGAACCTGTAAGCCACTGAGTCAAACTGAATCGTAACCTGCACTAGAAGGTTCACAAATGCCCATATGAACGCTGCACTTGAAGGTTCTTGGGCCATGAACCCTTCTCAAGTGGCCGAGTCTAGGTGAAGCTGTCTCAAGAGGAGCTGCAGAGGCGACCGTGGTGTGCGAGCCCCTCTTCACCCCTTAAGATGAACGTCCTGAAGTCAGGGGACCGCTGTAGTTAGAAGCATCAGAAATCAACAGCCTGAAGGGGGCTAAACGAATCGAAGACCCTGAGCCAATCTCCTTCTAGCGACATCATCGACATCCTCGGTGACTGCAGCTGCGGGGGTTTGGGCGTGTTCGAGATGCCGAGGATCCATTCGAGAGCTGCTTCTAGGTTTAGCGTCTGTAGTTTGTTTAATGAAGGGGGCGGGGCGAAGCTCTCTACTATAGAATCTTCCTGGATAGTCTGGGCCTGGGATATAACAACGAACAACCCCTATGCAAGTTTTAGGACGATTGAAACCTTAGCTGTTCAGGGAATCTGGGGGCTTTACATGTCAGGCACGCAGAACGTTACTGGCTCTTTGTAGGGAATTTGGGAATTTGGGTCAAGGTATCTAGTGGGATATAGGGTTCGTTAGAAGCCTTGTGCCTTCAAACCGAAAAACCCACAAAAGGGACCATGAACTCAACCCCTGGCCATCCCAAAAATGGGCCTGGAACTGACGGCTGGTTTCGGGTTTAGGTCTCATCTCCGACTCATGAACCAACCTAAGGAAGTCGCCTCATTCCCCTCCCAACCTCCCTTGTAAGACTTCACCCTTGGGCCTGCGACCTTCCTAAGACCGTCCTGAAAGCCTTGACGTCTAGGCGGCGCGTGCAAGCGTTTACAAATACCAAACAATTTAGCAGCCTGTTGTAATCCCTATATCTTTCTCGCAAAAGCTACCCATCATGCAAATGCTAATTCAACAGGCCCGTATATACCGCCGAGCCACATCTCCTTCGGCGGCGCATTGCCCATGGTCATGTTTTTGGACTCTGGGAAGAGAAACTCAGTGTGGACGGGCTTAAAGGCGGAGAGTTGAGGATTCATTTCCCTGAACCAATCTCCGTTTGAGGGGTGCTTGTCCAGTGCGGGTTCACTAGCCTGCAGATTTCTGGTGCCTAGGGCACCCGTACTGGAGGACCAGGTACCTTTCAAAGTGCTGCCGTCGTGTCCCTTGTGCCCTTGAGCTTTTGAGGCTCTGAGTTTCTGGGGCTTTGATCTTCTTGGGTATCGGCTCGGGGAAAAGGAGGCCCAAGGAGCAATTGAAAGTGCGATTGAAAGGTGAGGGGCTCAAGACCTCTGAACTCAACTCCTCCAACTCCAACGTGGGGCCAAGCAGCTACAGCAGGGAACTTCTTGCGGTCCGTGAGCTTGTCCCTCCACGTGAGCAAAGTCTCCTAAAGTTTTAAAGCCCTGGCGCTCGGCCCTGGGATGTGGCCCACGGAACCCCAAACCACGGAGCCCTGGGGCTGAGGGTGGCCCGCAATTCTCACGCGCGTGCTCCCCTCGCTCGCTTCGTGCACTATAGTGCCCTATTTGTCTCCCGGAACGGCGCGTCTTGAGAAACCAGGACCTGAAAACCGCGTGAGAGTGACCTGTCGGATCTCGCAAGGTGCGGTGATAAGGCGAAGTTGCACAAATCGCTGCATGGGTTGCCACACGTTGGACGCGAGCAAGACCCGAAGTTCTGAAACACCGGTCCCCATAATTCTTCCCCCAAAGCCCATGAGTGACTCCCTAGCCTCAAAGTTAAAGTCACTTAAATATCCCTAAGCCCTGTAAACCTCATAGACCCCTAGGCCCAAAACCCAACACACCAAAACCCCCAACCCTGCACAAATCCGGGCCTCAGCCTCTCCAACATCGACCAGGGCTGCCACTTCGGCATCCGCCACCACCCAAACCTTTGGGGCTTGCGCTCTCCAGTGCAGCCCTTGGGGGCTGAGATGTGGGCAGTTCTTCGAAACTAGGGCCTAGGGAGCGCTTAGAAGAGCATTCCTTCCTTAAAGTTCTGGGTACCAAAGAAAGGGTACGTAGATTAGATTGACCCCTGTGGAGGGTTACTCAGTGACGCGCCGAGTCACTTCGAATTACCCTTGAGGTGCTCTTGGACGAATTCATCCGAGATGTTCCTGCGTGGCTTGAGGCGCATGGTAGCGATGCTGGTGGGGATGGTGTGTGCATCATGGCTTCTGAATGACACAAGTGCTCCGAAGACTGAACCCGAAAGCGCTTGTGTAGGGTTTCTTAGGGTTCAGGGACTCCAAAGGAACACCGCTTCATTTCCAAGGAGGCAACTTGGGCTTTCCGAAAATCGCGGTCCCTTGTCGGAGTGTCCTTCTACGGGGAATGCTACTCCAATTGAAACGGGTGGGGGGGGCAACCCCAAACATGCAGCACAGGCACGGACGCGAGCAGGTGTTATCCCTTGGCCCATCTCAAATATAGTGGGTTGCTTAAGGACTTTGGTTGGTGCTTCAGGTGAAACCATGAAGCTGAGGAAGCACATGTTTACGTTTGCGAAGACGGACCCGAACCACTGCCCGGGACACCACGTCCTCGGAGGAATGCAGCAGCAGCACGAGGTCCTCAGGTGAAGGACACTTCAACCCGGAGAGACGAGTTAGGGGTTCACGAAGCCCACATGGGCCGTCATCCGCCGAGGCAGAAACGCCATGAAATCAATACAATGAGGAATCGCTTGAGAAAGAGACCCATCGTATAAGACGAAGGTTCCCCGATGAACTGGGATGGTTGAACCAAAACGACAAACATACAGGAGCTCTCTCCCTGTCATGTTTAGTATATTCGATGTTGAAAGAATTCTGAGTAGAGAGACTTGCGATGCCCGCGGCTTCAGGAATCAGGGTGGTTGGGTTGCATCTTGAGGGCAGCGAGCTTGCTCATATGACCAAATCCGTGTGAGGTCCCACCCCAACAAATCCTAGAGAAGATGCACAGAGAACCCCTTTGAGAACCTCCAAGCCTCACATCTGCAAACCCAAAGCACGCCCCAAACTTCAACTTTCCCAAGGATCTCAGGCGGCGCGGGGGCAGAGCTGATCAGCGCGTCTTGCTCAGCCATGGCGGCCCAACGGTGGCTCGTACCCCAATGAAAGTCCACATCACAGGTTAAACGGCTTTTGGTTCAAGATGCGTGTTCAAAGTTTCCTGGCTAGAAGGCTATCTGCGGCTATCTTCTTCATGCGAAAGCCAGCGTCCAACTGCTTTGTTGCAGAGGCTCGAGGCTCAAGGAGGGCGCCATCGCGTCTCATCAACTCCGACCGACAAACACGAATAATCATAGCAATAATCATCACAATCATTGCGATAATATACAAAAACAGCAGGCTTACAGTTCTATGAACAAAAAATTTAACAATACTTGCAATGATAGTCAAACACGGGCCCTGAAAGGCGTTTACATCGAATCCTGGAGCTCGCCCAGAAAAACAAAAAAGAAAGGATACATGTACAGAACCTCAACCTCCCACCCACCCCCCCCCCCCCACGATAAACCCTAAGCCCTAAACCTCCGCCCTTTTCGAGCTTAAAGTTTAGGACTCCCCTCCCACCTGGTAGGATCTCTCGATGTGCCTCGGCTCAAAGGGTTTATTTAGGGGTCCACGGTTTTTAGGGCTGCCAGTAGAACAGCAAGGAAAACGTTTGCAAGCCCAAAAGGGCCCAGGACCGGAAGCCTTTAAGACACCTCTGGTGCAGCTGCGGCACATCATGGCGCAAAAGAGCCTCACGGAAAAATGTCAGTGCCTTCAAGGCCTTGGGGCCGTATAGTTCAGGCTTTTGGGTGCAAGGCTGCTCCTGCTGCGCCGACGACAAGCACTATAGCTTGCTTGCACCACGACTGTGACTACAGCTACGCACACACACACACACAGACACACAGACACACGTGTGCCCTCATACTACATCTCCAACTGAAGCCCCAAAAGGTCGAGCACCCTCTTGGCTTGGCCTACTGCCCTTCGAGCCCCTTACTGCGCGCCTTGGCACGTTGCCGCGGGAGGTGGGGGCGGCGGATATCTGGCAGGGGGCTAGGAATGCAGGGTTTAGAGGGCTCACAGGTCCTGGTGCTTCCGAAAGGGGGGGTTCCAGAAGGTAAGGGGACTCTGGGCTCGATGCGTAGGGACCCTGTCCTGCACGTTTTGCCTAGCAGTTGCTCCTGACATTCAGAGTTCTCCATTCAGTTGAACCCTATAAAACCTTTAGACATCCCAAACCCTGTAAACTCTCTGAGAAACCCGATACACCCTGACAAGCAGAACCAATTGGAAATACATGCGAGTTGCACGATTTGGTTAGCCCTTCCTTTTGCCCTTGGCTGCTGGCACCACTTTGGGCACCAAAGTCTCACGTTAGCTCTTCGGAGCTGGAGGCCGGGCTGTAAAACCCCAACACCCGTAAGCCATGTTAAAGCTCTTGCCCTGCGTCCTTGACAGCTTCGGCTTGGGCTGGAGCTACGGGAAGCATGGCAACATATGGCAACTTCATCGGGGTTGTGCTACGATGGTGTAGGCAAAATATCGAAACATATGAAGGGGTCGTGTCATCAGATGATCAAGCGAAACCTGCTCTACTTCGCCACACCGGCGGCGCAGCTTTTTTATTAGGGCGAACACCCTTGTTAGAAGCCCTCTTGACTTTGGCAATTTTCTGGCTTGGGTGCAAAAGACTTTTCGCCAACCTTAAACATGTTCCTCTAACTCTGCACCAGGCCTTTGATAAACGCAAGGAGGCCTCGACCACGAGCCCCAAACTCGGAAGCCACTTGAAATTTCAGCATTCTGGAATCGCTTTTCAAAACCACGAAGAAACCCTCGAGCTTACACCCCCAGCCCCCAGCACCACGGGCGCCGCTTCCTCAGCTCAGGTCATCGGCCCTGTCAAGGAGCCAAGTTATCTCAGAGTCGAACCGCTCATGACTCGTAGAAACCGCGGTCCCCAGAGTGCTACCCAGAGAAGTGCTTGCGGGGGGATCCTCCTAAGAGTGCAATGGGACGAAAGGATTTGGAGGAGTTGAAGCCTCCGAAGCTCTCTTTTTTTTTTGCCTTGATTGGTCATTCGGGTTAGGCCAGCCCTACAACAAAGGAGGAACAGAAATGGTATCAGTTAAAAACCCAGCAGATCTCAGTTCTCCATACAAGAGGTCCGAAGCCCTAACAAGCGCTTCCTTGGGGTGCTGGCCCAAACCCGTAAATCCCCGCAACCCCTGACTCTACACCCTGACCCTCTGAGCCTCCAAAGCTAGTTATGTCTTTTCATATTCAAGCCTCAACTGGCCCTCAACCCCAAACACGTCTCTGACACCCTAAGCCCGAATTGAACCCCAAGCCCTGAACCCCAAGCCCTAAACGCTACACCCAAAACCCCAAACGCAAATCCCCCAAACACCAAGGACCCATTTCAACCAAAAAACAACATTCTAAATTCTAAATACACCGTCTATAATATAGAGGATCCTATTTGCTGTCAATATCCCATATCCTCTCTCTTACGTGCGAAACCCAGGCCTCGCTGTGGGCTTGGCTCGGCCGCCGCCCTCAGCCGGGCTGCCGACCGACCGCGGCGCCTCCCCGCGAGAGCAAAAAAAGGGCCGCAGGACCCCGGGGGACTGAACTGTAGGGTTTAGACGGTTTAGGGTGTAGACGGTTTAGGGTTTAGACGGTTTAGGATTTAGGGTTTAGGGTTTTAGGGTTTTAGGGTTTAGGGTTTAGGGTTTAGGGGGCTTAGGGTTTAGGGTTTAGTTTAGTGTTGGGTTTAGGATCTAGGGCTTCGGGCTTAGGGCCTCGAAGGCCCTAAGCACCCATCGGCTAAGGACGTTGTACCTTGGACCCCTGTGCTTGAACCTTTGGGTTTTGGGGAACCTTTTGAAGAACTCCTCAGAGAATGTCGAGGGCCCATATTGGGAGCGTATTTGGGTACGAGTTTCGATCTGGATTAGGACCTCGACTCAAGACCCCTAGGTCAAGCAAGACCCTGAACTCCTTGAAGACCAGCCTTCAACGGGCTTATGGTCCTAATTACTACTTCCCCCCCAAGCCTTGACGCCTGCCGCCCCCCGAAAAGCCTCCCTAAGAACAAGAACCCTGAGATTCCCAGACCCTTTCACTACGGGAACATCCTTGCATCAAATACATATATATATATATATATACATATATGCCCCTATAGAATTTCAAGGACTGCCTCTTTTGATCCAGGGGCACCCGAAGCCCCATAGACCCAGAAACCCTACTGGGAGTCTTCTGGGAAGGAGAGGCGCTGCGGCCTCAGACCCTCCGAGCCCTCGGTGCCCTGCCGTCGCTCGCGGCCGGGACTCTCCTCGGCCATCCCGGGCTCGAAAGGGGCTAACAGGGCTCAAAGGGCCCTGTAGGGTTGAGGGTCCAGGGCTTAGGGGAGGGGTTTAGGGTTTAGGGTTTAAGGGAGTTAAGGCTGGGGGAAGCTGGGATTTAGGGTTTAGAGCTTAGGGTTGTGTTCTAAGGGTACTTCTAGGTTGTGTTGTGGGCAGGGTGGCTGTATTGAACAGGCAAGAACAACGACAGGAATAGCACTGACGAGAACAAGCAAGATGGGCCTTCCTCCTCCTCCTCCTCCTCCTCCTCCTCCTCCTCCCCTAAACCCTATACCCTTAATCCCTAAATCGCGAACACTGAACCCCAAACCCTGCTCACCAACAAGGTGTGGGCATGGCACGGAACGGCCCCGGCGCGGCAGCCGCGCGGGCGCCCCGGCAGTGCGGCAGCGCCGGATGACTTGCAGGCCTCAGCCATCCGACCCAGCGCACCGAGTGACAGTCATATGAGGGCTGCTTGGGGTTTAGGGTTTCGGAGGGTCTCCTGTAGGGTTTGGGCAATGGTGGTTGAGCCTGACCCCCTGGCTAGCACAGTGTTTCTAAAACGTTTTGGGAGAGCATTTGGGTAGATGCTTCATGTTGTGGGGTTTGGACTTGTCCCTGCACAGGACAGGAAGTTTATGAGACAGAGCTAGACGCGCAATGCGGGCAAGCGGCGCACCACAACTGAGCCGGACCTTTGGGGAGGAGCAGCTGAAGACACTTTTCCAGCTTGCCTAGCACCTACCCCTAAACCTTCTAAAACCACAAACCCTAAATCAGGGAGCCCCCTTCCCTCGGTCCCGTGTTTCGTTCCACCGAATTTCAATATTTTTCGTGGCGGGGCCTGGCTTTGGCTCTTCGCAGGCTCTTGCATCGCTCCCGCCTGAGCGTTGAGCCTGTTTTCGACACCCTACGTCACCCCAGATTCCACCCCCCCCCCCCCCTGCCCCCGCCGCAGCCCACGCCTAAGTACCCTAAACCCTACCGGTATCCGACATGTCAAATCTCGAAACCAAAGAGCGAGCTCGTGGTCTTCAGAGCGGATCGGTTCCGTGGCAGAAGGTCCCGCTCGTAGCCTTGGGGTCTGTAGGCAAGTTGAGGGTGAGAGAGTTCAGGGGCCCCAAAATCCGTCGAGCCCGCTAAAACTTTAGCGGCCTAGGGATGTGAGGGCAGTTCCATCAACCCAGAAATCTCTGAATGTCCAACGAAGGGCTGTCAGATGTGGCCACCAGGTGCGTGGAGGCCAGCGGCAGGAACGCTCCTTCACAGGGCTGCACTGATCTTCCACACAAGCAGAAGTGGCGCTCTCCACAAAGAACAAGGAGAAACGAAGGGAACCAGGAAGTTACGGGCACGAGGTGGAGGTGGGCATCAGCACGCAGCATGAGACTAAACCCGAGCATGACCCACGAGCCCGAAAGACCAACAGTGGCATCTCGACATCGCTGTCGTGTCTAGCTTTTAGGCTGAGGGGTTATGCAAGCATGTGTAAGGTGCCTAATGCCCAAAATAAGAAGAACATAAAAAGACTCCAAGTGCTTTAGTGCCACAAGAAGAAAGCCCAAGTGCAGTGGACACCCCAAACTTCTGCGAAACCTCCGATGCTGAGAAGCCTGCAAGCGTGCTTCCTAAGCCCCGAGCACACAGTACAGGAACCTCCACCACTGCAACTGCAAACCCGGCCCACAAGGGTTTCTCGGCATTGCCGCTCGAGGTTTGTCGGAACATAAGCGCTCCAAGTAATTGGGTTCCGAAACAAAAAACCCGAAACCCTAAGGCCCATGAACCTCAAACAGTTCCGTTCTTGCAACGTTTCAGTAGAATCGAACTCCTTACAAACCAGCATCCCCCCAAACAAAGTGCATTTTTGTTAAGAACCGTCGCCATGTACCATAGGGGCTTTATAATCAATAATGATTAGAATCGGGTTTTTTGGGGGTGACTATAGTATGATTAGAAAGGACCCGAAAAGGAAACGATGCTAAAAACCGCCACTCCAAGGCGCCGCCAAACTTCGCGCTCAGTCGCTCCGCGCGGCCACCCATCGGCGCCCAGAGTCTGGCGCGAACCTCCACGACTCCTGCCACGCCCGTATATGGGGATACTCGCACGACATGTGTAATCTATAATCTATACACCTTGCAGGAAAAATATAAACATCGCTGAAAACTGGCGTGTTGAGGCATGTAAGAGCCGGAAGTGCTGTAAATACCACATTACAGAACCCGGTCAGCCAAGTACAGCGATATTTATGCTGTCATAAGCAAGCATAGTTATGACGAATACGAGAATGAACGGTAGGGCTTTCAATCGATCTCAAGCACAGCAAGCAACATACAGCCACAGATGCAAGAAGAGCAGGACATGTGTAAAGGCTAGGTGCGGCTGGGTCTTGGGGGAGGGGGGGGAGGGGTGGGTGACCACATATGTGTACAAATATATATATATATACATATATATATACATATTTTAATATTTACACATATAAACATATGTATATATTTGGGGACCCTAATTTTAAGTTGGTGTGATCAAACGGAAGACCCTGTAGACCATGTTGTTGGTAGCCACACATCTGGAAAACAACTTCCTAATAAGTAAGTAGGGAACTAGAAAGCTCATGTATCCTACGTAACCCTTTAAGGGCTCATGTGGGGTACCTACTTTAGACAGTGAGTAAAGTGCTTAG